CTGTGAGAAAAATTTCTGGGATTTCACGGAGGAACACTCGTGAAAAATATTGCCAAAGTTCTTTGGGATTTACCAGAGGACTCCGTAGATTTCAGGTGATGAGTTTTGCTTCGACACACATACACGATTAAAAAGTTGCTACCTTTAACAGCTGTTTTAGGACTTAAAAACTAGGTATATGTACGCCAGACCACGTCTCGCGTAACAGGCTTCGCGATATCTCACGAAACACTGTTACGCTGCGACGCGCCTGGCGCACATATAGCTAAGACTACGGCGCTGACACCCGAGACGGGGTAATAGGAGTGAATATACAATTTTTCGAAATGAAGTCTTTTTAATGATTTAATCGACCATTTGACCATTTTCGGCTCATTTTTGTCAAGAAATGCCCCCTAGCACCTAAACGGTACAAGATAGAGCCAAACGGACGAAAGTTTGGCTAAGGGCTCTACTTTGACGTGTTACCCCCTAGGAACGCATAAAAAAAATATTTGATAAAAATACATTTTGCGACCTGTAGTTTTTGATTTTTTTAAAAGCCAATTTTTGAGCTAGAATGCTCATCTTTGAACTCGACCTGTCTTTTTATGATACAAAACGACCCTGAAATTCCCAGATCGCTCTCTCATTTCGTTCTCGAGTTATAGTGCGGACAGACAGACAGACAAACAAACATACAAACAAACAGAATGAAACTTTTCCGGTCAGTGGAGTAATGGGCTTCGCAATCGCTCAGCCAAAAAATAACGCAAATTCCGAAGTTTATCCGCAAAATTTATTAATGGTACCGTTATAAGATCATAACTTCACGTATTGCTATAAAGGGAAAAACGTTAATATTTAGATTTGTGATAAATGGTAGGGTTGGTAACTCCAACATTAACATTTGTAAAAGCACACCCTGACTAAGATCACCCCTTAAAAGTGCACGTTTCAAGAATTTACAAAACATTAATGCCCAAGCGTAAATTTTCTAATTTCGCGCCTCTCTTTAATGTGAGCAAAATATTTCTTCGAAGACGCTTTTTTCGTTGGAAGAGGCTAGATTTGTACTTGAACCAAGCACAAACCAGTCAAGTTCAATCTGACCGTCGACCAAGGCAAAACAGTACTTGGGGCTGAACTAGTGCAAAATGAACTTGAAACAAGTATAATTTTCTTGATCCAAGAAACGATTTCTCTGGGTGTGCTTCCAGTTCCGGCCGCTAGGGCGCAGCACGCTCTGAGTCAACTAAGAGAAATAAACCGGTCGGGTGCTCCTTTCTGATTGGTCCATACACTTTTGACACCAACCATAACTTAAATTAGATCCCTTTTCAAGTGATAATACGACTTGATGTTATTGCAAAATCTAACCCAAACCACTATTTTGAGCGCACGATTTCTCATGGTGGACTCGGAGCGTGCTGCGCCCTATCGGCCGCACCTGGAAGGAGCGCTGCTGCTCAGGCCTTATTATGGTTTTGTTTTTCTCTACATGACCTGGTGCCTGTTATGTTCCCTTGTCACCCACCTTCCCTCGTTGTTGTCGCATTGTTCGCTGCTTTTTTTTTCATTTCATTTTCTGCGCCTTTTTGTATATTTTTTATATTTTAAGTTTGGGTGATTGATTAGAGGAGTGTGTACAGCAAAATATCTTGATTAAAATAGGTTTTATTTAGATACTACACAATAATCTGTTAGTTAAATCTATCGTTAAAATTATAGAGAGGACATTATTCAATGATAAAAATATATTGTTCGTCATAGTTAAAGACAGAGCGATGGATGCATCGCTTGTAAATACTATGAACAAAAAGTCACAAAAAAAGAGAGTTACATTTACTTTGCAATTTAAAATGTCCATTGTATAACAAATTCCCTTACAAACCAAGACTATTTGAAAAAACAGGAAAATAACAGTTCTTTGCTGTTACTATAATATGTCATTATTACTGGGAAACGACTGGAAGGTCTGCTTAGCGGAAGGTCCCCCGCCCCACAGTGGGCTGGATCCAGAAAAAGGTGGACACAATTCCTAGACGGCCCCTAACGACTAGTTTTGAACTTTTTTGGTCCCTGAATTGTTCAGAGGGTAAAAGATTACATTTTCCAGCAGTGTTCCAGCGTTTGTTTCCATTATTTTGAAAGAAAAATGCTATTTTTTTAAATAGATATTTTTTTATCTCGATAGTATCTTGTCAAAAAAGGCCAAATAAAGGCACTTACGCACGCGAACCTAAAATACACCTTAAACTAAGCCTGCTACGGTAGATTTCCAAAAAGTGGCACTAGGTGCCCCCTTCTCCCATGGGTATCACCCCACCACTTTACTCATATTCTACTGGGTTCTTTCCAAACATCATTTGAATTAGTGAAGTAATCCTAGAGGATGGCTGTCGTGGTGGGATCGCTGTCCTATTCTCCACCACGGCTGATTCTGCAAGCTTTGAGACAGTTTCCGTTAGATTTTGAAATGAAGGCCGCTTCTCAGGGTTCTTATGCCAGCACTGGTTCATGATGTCATAGACTTTTGGAGGGCAGTTAGGTGGGGAAGACATACGGTGTCCTCTTGTTACTCTTCGTATAACTTCGTCGTTCGATCGGATATCTGAAAATAAACAGAGATGCAGTTAATTACTGTAGGCTTGGCTCCGAAAACAACAATCGTTACTCTTACTATCCGCCAAGGGATACAATGGGGTATTTCCGGGTCAGCGTAGCAGCGGACTTCAACTTCGACTCTCGCCCGATCTGTTTTGATTACTGGCTGCAGTGATGGGGGCGAGATAGACACCTAGCACTACCCGCAGGCGGCTGACTTTCAATCAAGCAGTTGCCCGAATTCGCGCCAAAGTGACCGAGACGGAGCTATGGATCCGAGCTGCACCACATGACCGCTCGGAAGCATAAGCAGTGTTGCTGTTGCATACTTCGCCTGTGGCTCAGCGGCGCTGTAAGATTGAGAGACCTGCTCTTGGCCATTCCAAAAA